TTCCTGTGCCGGCTGCGGGGCCGGGCAGCACGGGAGGCCGTGCGCACCCAGTACCGGCACTGCCTGGAGCAGCAGCGGCGACGACGTGCCCAGGTCCCAGCCCCCATCGAGGTGAAGGGGGGGGGCGGGACGGGGGGTCCCTGCCCCGGGGGGGTGGCTGGGGCCCGGTGTCACCCCCCCCTTTGCCTTCCAGGTGTGGCTGGAGCTGGCCGAGACGCTGGCAGAGGGGCTGGAGGAAGCGACGGCAGCCGCCTTCTCTCAGGTAAGGGGGTTTGAGAGGGGTTTTCCAGGGGGGTGGGGGGCAGAAGAGACAGCCCTCCCCTCCCTGGGCACCTCTCAGGGCACATCACCCCTTCCCTGTCGCCATGTTATCATTTCCAGGTCCTCACTGTTGCAGCCACGGAGCCGCTGAGCCTTCTCCACTCCGTCCCCCCGCATCCTGCTGGCACCACGGCGTCACCGGATCAGGGGGGGTCGGCACCGGGGGACCCTGCGGCCCCCCCAGCCCCGCAGCCCCACGCCCCCGGGGCCTTCACCGTTGACTTCCAGAGGGTCTACGAGTACCTGGCACGGCTCTGCCAGGGTGGGAAGGGCCCAGCGCTCCCTCCTGGTGGTGAGTGGGGGACCCTGATGCCAGGAGGGTGTCGGGGAGGTTGCGGGATTTGGGGCCCCCCTGTCAGTGAGGGGGGGCTCTGGGGTCCCCTGGCTGCTTCTGGTGTCGTGGGGTGGTGTGGGTAGGGGGATTTGGGGAGCAACGGTGGGGGGAGAGCAGGGAGGGCCTGGGGGTGTTGTCCCACACTGGGGGGTGTCAGTCCCAAACCAGAGGGCCCCAGCATTGCTGCTGTCCCCACCGTGGGGCTGGCACCCCCCCGGGAGGGAAGGCGTGGGGTGGGTGGGGGGTCCTGACACCGTGTCCCTCCCCCCCAGAGTCGGCGGTGGTGCTGGCACTGCTGGGCTCCCTCCCCCAGGAGCTGGGCGTCCTCGACCGCGCCGCCCTCCACAGCCACCTCCGAGGGACCTACGGCGCTCTGACGGCCCCCTGCTCCCCGCAGATAGACTCCCCGGCCCCCGGCA